TTGAGCACCAGGAGAAAGATGCTAGGTCAGCAGTGTCAACCTAACTAGACTGTTTAACATCGGACATTTTTATTTGGGGATAGTCTAAAGGCGGGATAGTTTAAGTCTGAACATGCTGAGTGGAATGATCAGCAGGGAGGCAGTGGCTGGAGTGAGGTGTTGGGGTGTGCTGGGATGCATGAGAAGGGATGGCATCCATGCCCTCTGACAGGATGGTCCTCCCTCAGCTCAGCACCTGAGTCATGAAGTTGGCAGGGTCTGGCATGGAATCTTTCTGCTAAAGGCCTGAAGGGCTTGGGGGCAGTCCTAGGCAACCCATGCCCAGGAGTCACCCTATCCCACACTCCCTGGCCCAGCCCACTGTTGGGTTTCTGTTCTATTGCCCTCCTTTCCAATTCTTTTTTTTTTTTTTAATATATTTTATTGATTTCTTAAAGAGAGGAAGGGAGAGAGATAGCTAGAAACATCGATGAGAGAGAAACATCGACCAGCTGCCTCTTGCACACCCCCTATCGGGGATGTGCCCGCAACCAACGTACATGCCCTTGACTGGAATCGAACCCGGGACTCTTCAGTCTGCAGACCAATGCTCTACCACTGGGCCAAACCGGTTTCGGCTATGCTTTCCAATTCTAAGTTAAGGATGGGCTGCCACTCTAAACGCAGTCCTTCCCTGCCCCTGTCCATGGCCTCCTTTATGGGTATCCTCCCCCACTCCCTGCTGGCCTGGTCTATGTCTCCCACCCCTTCTCCCACCCCCAGCTGGGCCTGGATGACTACTGTTGGAATCCAGGTAGTTTCCATCAAGTTCCTCTTCCACACCAGCCCTTTTGGCTGAGCTCCCATCTTTCCTTGCAACAAGTGAACTTGAGTTAGGACAATATAGGCACCGCCCTCAATGAACAATATAACTTTGTCTATGTGGAAACAACATTCCTGACAAAGGAGCCCTTCTATAATGACCAAGGCAAAGGCGAGAGAGCCAGCACATTCCTGATGGGGCCTCCCAGAGGCTGCCTGGGAAACGGAGGCTTTGCCCAGGTGTGGACGGGGAAAGAGATGGGTGTGTACACCGGGAAATCAAGGCAATAAATAGGAATCATACACGGTGTGCACGAAGCATGGCCCTTGGATCCAAGTCAGGAGGGGATCGGGGGAAGATAGGAATGGATTCTAGCACCAACATTATTAAAACTAGGGGTGTGAAGGGACCTAGGAGGTTAGCTAGGAAAGAGGTTGAGTACTGCCCTTTGAAGGCTGAATAGGGTTTGGCAATGGGCAGCCCCAGCAGACACAGAGGTGAAGCACACAGGGGCAGGTCAGAGGTGGGCCTGAAAGAGCAGGCTGAGCTCTCACTAGATGCTATAGGTGAGGCGGCCACAGAGACCCTGGAACAGAGGCATGGCACAGGCAGAACCACAATCAAAGACACTCAGGGGTACCAACATGGGACTCCGGAGAGAGGGAGACCAGAGCCACAGCACATGGAATGAAAAGAAACCACATCCAAATCATGGACCACCTTGTGTAGACACCAGAATTTAGGGACTAATAGGAAGAGGAAGGACAGGGGAGAAGAAAGCATCCAAGATGACACTAGGTTTTGAGTATGAGGAGCGGGGTGCATCGTCTGAGATCTAGATGTGGAAGAAGATGCTGTTGGTGACATCGGGAGGGTGAGGTTGGCACATGCTGAGTTTGGTGCCCTGGATCTCCCAGGCAAAGGTGCCCAGGAGGCAGAAGAAGCAAGGGTCTAGGTTCAGGAGTGAGGTCCTAGCTGGAGACCCAGATTTAGTGTCCTTGGGACAGTGATGAGGTTTAAAATCAAGGAGACGAATGACATTGACAAGAGAGAACACTCAAGGCCAGCAGAAATCAGTCCAACTGACCAGGTACATGAGTCCTCATTACGCTCAGACTGCCAACCAACCTACCTTTCCTCCCTACCTGTCCCCATCTCACCCAGCCTCCCAGGCCTAGCTCCCTCTGATTATTTCTGCCCCAGGTGGGTCCCTTCCTGCTGTAAGCCTCCCAATACTGGCAGTCCACACCTCAGCACCGAGACTTGTACTGTCCTCTGCACCAGGAGGCCAGAATCGCAGCTTACCGCCTGGCTATATCTTCTGGCACAGAGCACCCATAAAGCACTGAATAAATAGCTCCTCCTTGATGGGTGGGTTAACTAACTATCAATTCCTGGGTTGGAGGTCAAGGAGGAGAATAAGGTGACTAGTGAGTAGCTGACTAGCGATAAATAGACTTGTCATTGTTGGGCTCATGCAGCGTCCACTTTTGTATCTCACCGCTATGAATTATATCTTCATGGATTGACATCATACATCTCTATGGATCAACAGGGATACATCTCAGAAACACTGTTGAGTGAAAAGAAGTTCAGCTCTAGGTTAAACCCACTGGAGTCGTCAGCGCTGTCTCTCATGTCTGTCTGGTTCACCAGCACATGGCAGGCCTGCACTGCCCGCTGCGTCCGAGGCAGGAGGGGCCCTGGGCTGCTCTGGCCCCTGGCCTGGAGCAGAAGCTGAGGGAGGGAAGCTTGAGGAGCCAGCACACAAGTCGCCATCCCCCTCTTCCTCTCTCAGGCGCTCCCCTCCCACCCCCCTGCCTAGATCACTCAGTGATTCCTAGGAGCAGAACCCCATGCACACCCTTGTCAAATGTGCTGGAATGCAACGCAATGCTTGCTGTGTTAAAAAATAAAAAGAAAAGAAAGAAAGAAAAAAGGAATAAATGAATCTGAGGCAAAACCTTGGGAGCTCAGATGGGTGTGCCTGAAGGATTCACTAGGTGTTTTGGGCGGGGGACACCTGAGACATTGGGATGGGACAGTGGTTCTCGGGTTGGCTATATGGATGGTTGTCCATGAGATACCAGAAGTGCTCCCGTTATGTGATAACCCAAACACGCTCACCCCACATCCCCAACACTCCTGGGGTCATACCAGCCCCAAGAGAACCATGAATGCAGTGGGGGTGGGAGGCACAGCGGGACTCGGAGAGGACAGCTGGGTTGCAGGAGGGTTTGACCGGTGACACCACCTAATCCCCCAAAGTGCAAAATTGGATGTGACCTGTTGAGAGCATAAGGATATTTTTCACAGGTGACAGAACAGAGTGAGATTAACCTGGAGGGAGACAGGAGAGATGGACGTAATAGTATAAAATCCCCCGAGCCCAGAAATGTGGCCTTTACACAGGTGGCATAGCATCCTCTGACCATCTACAAAGTACTATGTGACTACCCACTTCTGCGGAGGAGGAAACGGCGGGAGGAGAAGGGGACTGACGGGTGGGACACAGGTAAGTGGGAGAGCTGCTCTGGGGCACGGATAACCTGGAAAGAGAGACAGACTCTGAAACAGAGCTGGGACTGACAGCCTGAATGGGATGGTGGGGCTAGGGTGGGTGGGGAGGAGTGCGGACCGATGCCCGGGCTGTAGGAAGAGGAGAGGGCACTCAGGTGTAACCTTTCATCTTTCATCCGGAGGCAGACTTTGTGGCCAAGACTTCAGCCAGTAGCTGGAGCTATGAACCAACTGCGGTGGGAGAGGCTCCTGCCAGCTGCCCTCCCAGAGCTCAGGCTCCCTGAGGGACAAGGCACAGGGAGCCTCCTGGGAACCGGGATTTTGGAGGCTGTTGTCTCTCAGCTCTTCACGCTCACCAGCCGCCCTGGGCCCCACGGACAGAGGGAAGGAGGCAAGGACAGAGGGAAGGAGGCAAGTCCAGATGTACCATCGGATGAATTCCTACATGGCCTTCCAAGGACCCAATGCTGTGAGGACACAGAGCCACACGAGGGCGCTCTAACCAAATAGCAGGGAGGACACTGGTCCTCCCTTGGAAGGAGCACCAGTCAGAGTTTAAAGCCATTTGGACTAGTGGCTCTCAATGGAGCTGCTGCTAGAACTCCAGGACATTTCTCCCCAGTGGGAGGTGCCCCAACACTTCAGGGTGTTTGCCATCCCTGACCCCCTCCCTGCCACTGGGACAACCCAACTCCCCAAGTCTCATTTCCAAACACCCCTTCTCTGGACACTCCCTGCTGGTCAGGGCCGCGGGAGGGTGCCCCATGGGGACCCGCACCTCCCACTCTGACTTTGTGAGTTAGGCACCTACAGATGCTGGAGAACTGCAGGCCCTGGTGACCGCGTGCTGGTGGGGGCTGCCACCCTTGGGAGGTAGTTTTCCTCATGCCGTTGTCCTTTAGGACTGGGAGAGACGAGAGCCGTATCGAGAACACTGGGGACACAGACACAGGACCCTAAAGACAGACACCACGGGACCCGCTTACAGACACCCACATCCCAGGGAGCAAACATGTGGCCACACAGAACACAGCTCGCACAGAACGCCCACAAAGCCAATCTGAGACAAGGCACACCTTCAGAGCCCACTGTGAGTTCTGAGATGTTTGCATCGTTAGGTTCCCAAGGTGAAATCCAGGGATGAGATACTAAATATTTACCAACTGATGAGCCCTCATCCACTATTTACACCCTGGCCACTTGGCACAGAGGCTGGTGTAAACATGTGGCACATACAAGGCGCTGCAAACCGCCTGGTTGGCAGAGCGTGAGTGCCCTGTGGGACACAGGTGTACCAGGATGGCTGTTTGGACAGACAGGTGACTTTTTGAGAACATACCAAAAAGGCAGTCTGAGCAGACCCGGGAGACACACTATCAATCCCAGTGCAGGACTGGGAACCTGCCGGCACCGACACACTGAGGGGCTGGAGAAAGACTCAGGCCCACCAGCCTGCAACACCCAGTGTGCCCACCCCCCACCGAGCAGCTGATGTCCCCAAACAGAGGTGGCCTGCACATCCCACAGTGGTGGCATCTGCTGGGAGGCACGGCCCTGCGTCTGAGACATTCACCATCTCGGACGGAATGCAGGTGGGTCCACCCCAGCCCTCTGGCCAGCTGGGCGCGACCTCTGACTCCATAGGGAGCAGACATTGCAAGCCAAACGTGCTTCTTACCCTCCTTCGAAGATTTTGACCCTCGCTGGCTCCCCTCTCTTGGAGGCGGGAGCATCCTCCTCGGGCTTCCCTCTTGTCTCCTCTTCCTTCTCCACTCTAGCTACATCTTTCTGGCCTTCCAGGGAAACCAGCGAAGGGAGGCGAACCTGGTCCACCACAGGAGGGACAAAACCATTGCCGGTTACATGGGTAATAAGGGAACGATGTCTTCAATGGCATTGCTTGCTTACACTCAATCGGGGTTGGCTTAATCTCCACTCTGCCCCATGAAGAGGTGCTGTAAGCCCACTTTACAGAAAGAAAGAAGCTGACCCCAGAGAGGTGGCATCCCTTATTCAAGGCCATGGGGTCAGTCGGTGTCACAACGAGGACTCTGGCCAGGTCTTTTCCATGGGAAGACCAGTTCGCTCTTTCTTTTACACTGGCAAGAAAGGCGCTGGGGACAGGTGCTCATCTTGGCCCCTTCAGTCAGGCCAGCACCCAAAACAGGGCCTGCCTCTCAGTGAGGGCACATAAGGAATGCTGCACTAATAAATGAAGACTCTGCTTGTGGAGATGAACTAGTCTAGTGGTTGGCAAACTCATTAGTCAACAGAGCCAAATATCAACAGTACAATGATTGAAATTTCTTTTGAGAGCCAATTTTTTTTTTTAAACTTAAACTTCTTCTAGGGCCACTTTTTCAAAATAGACTCGCCCACGCCGTGGTATTTTGTGGAAGAGCCACACTCAAGAGGCCAAAGAGCTGCAAGTGGCTTTCGAGCTGCGGTTTGCCAACCACTGAACTAGTTTAATTCTCTTTTACAGATCAGACAGTCAAGGTCATCCAGCAGGTGAAGGGCACTGCTGGGAGCAGAACGCAGGTTTCCTGAAGGCCCTGACCAACAGGGCCTCCCAGAGCTGGGCTAGAGAGGCTGTGTGAGCACTGAAGGCATGCACCTGAGGGTGGGCAGGCTCTGGGCTGTTCATCGAGGGAAGCTTTTCTCTTCCACAGGCCTTAGTGGCGAGAGCTGGCTGGATGAGGACATATTTTTATTTGTATTTTTATCTCATGCAACACTTTAATTAGATAAGTGAGACCCGGCAATTCCATTAGGAAAGATCTGTTTTCCTCCAGTGCCCGAGGCACAATCGATTGGTTCAGGACCTCATGACCAACATGGACACTCTCTCCTGCTCACACATACTGCCTTTGATATCTGGGTTTCCTCAGTTTATATCTGACCTGGGACTGACTCAGAGCACCCTAGTTTTGCTTACGAAACTCAGGTGAGCCTGTCATTTGTTTCTGAGTTAAATGCTATTATTATTTCATATTAACTTGTTGCTTTCTGCAAAGGGGGAAGCATTTGTATTCTGATAAATTGATGAAATGAACTCAATTTTTGTAGTAATGTGGTATATGGTGAAAATGTGTTTCATGGGACCCTGTGGCTTATTTCACAAACAGACGGTCAGGCTTTCCAAGCCCTTGTCAAAAGAGAATATATTGTTTAGACCCCCCGAATAGCAGCAGGGGGTGGCCCACCCTTGAATACGGAGCCCTGATGCTGGGCTGGCAGCTGGAGCCTGCAGTGTCGAGAATGAGATTATCATGCTACTTCATGCCACTGTCATAAAGAAATTGCACTGCTTACAGCCAGCGGGAGAAGCAACTGTATGTCCTGGTGCTGGGAAAATATAAGAATTGCAGTCCCCATGCCAGCTACCACACCTGCCCCAACAGCATGTGATGGGGCTGAGCAGAAAGGCAGTTGGCTAAGAACCAGGGAAGCTGAGTGCCCCTGCATGCTGGCAGGAAACATGCCAGCGAGCCAAGTGAAATATTCCAAATTTTTTTTGCAGGATTCACCTCATTTTAAGAATTTCAAATTTCAATCTGATGACTGCCCAATCCAATTAAGCCAAATTAACTCTTCCTTTTTATTGAATGGCCTTTTAATATCCGGTCATTAAAACAGAGAGGCAGTCCAGACCATCCGAGAGGGCTTTGGAATGAGATCTAGCTTTGAATCCAGGCTCTGCCGTTCACTCTGTGGCCCTGTGAAAGTTGCCTAACTTATCTGTGCTTTGCCTCCTCATCCATAACATGGTCATAGAGTACCCTAACTTACAAGGTGGTTGTGGGGATAAAAGTAAAGTTTAGCACAGTACCTGATTGCACAAGTATCAATAGTTATAAGTATAAACATAATTACAACAGTGTCAGGGGAGTACATGTAGCTATTAAAAGAAACTGGAGAGCAAGTCAGTAATGATGTTTATTGCAAAAGTAGAAATCTCATTTAGAGATGTCTGTAGATTGACATGGGCATTTAGAGAATAAATTTGGGAAACAGTCTTGTGAGAATATCCAGCTGATCTAAAAACAAATTCAAATGCACAAAATTTACTCAAGGATAAAGAGGAGAGTATGAATATAGGAAAGTTATAGAACATGATTTTGTTCATTTGTCTATAATATGAATTTAGTTTAGTAGATTTCTGCCTGATTTGGCTAAAGCACCTGAGGACACACTTTAAGGTTTTCTTTCCTCAAATAATTGAAAAAAGTAAAGTAGACTTTTTGGAGTCAGATGGATCTGAGTTCAAATTCTAGGCTTGCCAAATATTTGCCATGTGACCTTGCCCTTTCTCACCCTCTAATTCTCATCTGTAGAATGGAGATGATCCTGCTATCTCAGAAGTGGAGATGAGCATTGAGTGGATTCAAGGGCAAGCACAGTGCCTGGCACAGTGAGGCTGCTCAATCAACAGACCAATTATTATAATATTTCACAAATGCCAAGTCAGCATAAAACATCATGGCCTGAGTCCTTGGGCAGCCTTGTCAGGGTCTGAAGGTGCCATCTATCAAATGTCAAACTTACTGAGCTTGTAGGGATTCATTCATTTTATATATTTCCTGATGGATGCAACCTCAGGTCAGAGGCAATGAAAGTAAATTGTACCCTTAGTGGGGCTAGGTGCTACCACACAGCGTAGATGGGTCAAGCTCTAAGTGACATTGCCACCTATTGGTAAAGAGGGAAATTGCATCCCAGGTTTAGCTGTTATCCTAGAGAAAAGACTATATTAGGATTTGTGTCAAATTCTAGACTCTCTGGAAATAAGAATATTTCAAGTTGTGTCAGAGAACAGAAACAGTAGATATAGAGTATAAGAAAAGCAGGAGAAGACTAACAGGACAGGAAAAACATACGATGGATTGACATAAAGTTCTATAATTATTGTAGGCATTTCCATCAGTCAAGTTTTCCAGTCTTTTGGAGAATTGTTTTTTTCCTGGCTGAGATTGTGTTTGTGATTTTACAATAGCAGCCAATGGGAAAGCAGTATCACTTTAAAGTTTACTTCACTGAAATGTATCTATTCTGATTGCATGAGGGACACACTGACAAAGGAACCCAATAAATGTTTCCTGGTAAGTTGACCAGACCCAGCTGACAGAGACAAAATCTACCCACTCATCTGGCACTAGCTCTGCAAATGGGACCTGAGTAAAATGTGGCTTTAAAAGCTCATCAAAGACTTTAAAAATCAGTGGGGAGAAAAAAGATAAGATTGAGCTTACCTCTGTCATGCGGGGCTTGTGGGAGCTGGATGGCACGAGCCTTCCTGTCTCAGGATGCGGAGCTATGGCCATGGTGTATGTCTCTTTGCTCACCTTCTGCTTAGACCTCAGGAGGGACAAAGCAGCTTTAGTGGAAACCCCTGGTAGATTGGGGTTGTACAAACTTATGCACCAACCAGCGTAAACAGAGGACCTCCTATCTGCATGCTGGATGTGATTTGGCTTAATGTAGTTTAAATAGCACCAACTGACATTAGTGGTTGTGTGGAGGCTGGGGAACTGCAGTACCTTCTTTGAGTCCGTACCTTCTTGAGACTTGGCTGGTCTGGGGGATGTTTCTGACAGAGGAAGTGAGCTGGGAGGTGCCAGTGAAGGGAGGTCAGGTTGATCCTTGGAATCTTCTTTCTTCACACTCAGGGTGGGCAATCCTCTTCGGTGGTGTTTACCAGATGGTTGCACATATTCCTTCAAAGCCTCTGAGCCTGGAGCTGTCACATGGGGCAGTGTAGGGTGAGGAAGGGGAGTAATTTCCTTTGGGTCAGATGGATCTGTGGGCAAGCTGGACAGCAATTCTAGCTCCCTCCTGACCTGGCTCTGGCTACCCATGGGGGATTTCTCTGGTCTCTTGCCATCCTCAGTGCTGGTAGGCACCACACTGCATGGTTTTAGCAGTTCCAGTTTTTCATCTGCCTTGGAAGCCTCCTCTTCCTTCACCCGTTTTTGCTGCTGGGTTTCCATGGTAAGTTCAAGGCTGCCAGCTGGGGAAAGGACACGTTTGCTTCCCCCCACTGTCGATGAACTCCCCTCCAGGCTCAAGACACTCTCTGATGACAGGGAAGTGCCTTTTCTTTCAGGTAATGTCACAGGCACTCTCAGGTATGGAGACTGGAAACCTCTGCTCTGCTCTTCACTTATTCCAACTGACCCAGGCCCGACCTCGTACACATCTGCCCCACACACTGTCGTCCTTTTACATGAGGGCTCCTCAAACTTAGGGAGAGCTATACTTGATGAACTGCCTTGGGACTGGGTGACCAGGATCTGGGAGAGGGTGGTGTACATGGCACTCCCATAGGATGGCATGTTGGTCTGAATTCGGACGGGTACAACCAGGGACACCATGTTATTGGGACAGGCAGGCAGGGCCAATGGAGAGGCTGATATGGGCACTGAGGAGCTGGATGGGGGAGGCAAGGGGGGCAGCTGGATGTTACTGCCATACTCTGTGCTGGAGGAGAGGCCAGCTGTTCCTGTTGCCAGCGGGGCCAGGCTGGTTTTAATCTGTGGCAGATGACTTTCCACATCGCCAGGGAGCTGAAGGGCAAACTGAGATTGGAGAGGCAGGAAAAACCCAGAAGAGAGTGCTGAGGAGGACGGGTATGGCATGGGGAGAAATGAAGGGGGCTGCCGGAAGGGGATGCTGGTAGGGTGAGGCATGAGCTGGGGGAGGTGAAGCTGGCTTGGATGCAAAACAGTAGGTTGGAGAGGAAATGGCGGGGCTTGAAGTAAGGAGGGAGGAATTGGGGGCATGGAATACGGTGAGGAGAGGAGGCTGGACATGGAATGGGAGGAGAAGAATTCTGAAGACTGTCCTGGCTCGTGCTGCAAGAGGTGCTGGAAGGAGAAAAGGGAGACGGGCTGGGGCAGACATGGTTTCTCATGCAGGGGCAGCTGGGCAATGGGGTGGTGGAGCACCTGCAGTGCTTCTGTGAAGGGCGGAGTGGACCCCAGTGGGGGTCTGTCCTGCACCTGGCCTTTGCCTCCCGGGTGCCCAGAGTGTGAGATGGCCGCTGAGGAAACCTGGGGCAGTGAGCTTTTGGCCACAGTTTTACTGGATGAGGGCTTTGGCTCCTCACTCTCCTGTCTTCCCATGGGGGTGGCCTCCAGCTCTGTTTCTGGAAACCTGGTCAGGGAGGCCTGTCTCACCAAAAAGCATTTCCTTCTCTCTGGAGGGGCCGCTGGGGCTGCAGGGGCTGTGGGGGCAGCTGGAGCCACCGGGGCCGGGGCAGAAGGGCCTGCCAAGGACAAGCTGCCACAGTCAAACGATTTGCTGCGCCTCTCGGTCATGTGGGCCGAATGGGAAACGTCAGGACTCTGCTCCGAGGCCGACCTCCGCATCTCTCGGGTGTGTGCGTGGTGGCTGGGGACGGTCAGCATGTGCGTGCCCAAGGGTTTGGAGCGTGTGTCGGACGATGGCCTGGGGGCCTCGGCTTTTCCGTGGTCGTCCCTCTCGAAGGAGGCAGAGCGGCTAGACCCACTCACAGAGACACTGCTCTCCTGGCTTGGGCTGCGGGACAGAGGCAAGGAGGACTCGAAGCTGGATTCCCCCGAGGACTGGGCCATCTGTGCCAGGCGCAGTCTCTTCTTCTTGGGTGGCAGCTTCTCTGCGGGGAGCTGGGCGAGGGTCTGGCTGCGCTGGGGCCACTGGAACTCCTCTGTCTTCTCGGGCTCCTTCGGGGGCGGCTCGGGCTCTGTGTCCTGCCGGTCGGGCTCTTCGGTCACCAGGATCTCAGGAACCTGAATGTTGGGCTGGCGGACCAGCCTGGGCTGCAGGGAGTGAGCTGGGCGTCCGTGCGGGGTGGGCGGGGGCGAGGAGAACGGGGCTGGGGCCGTAGGCTTGTCTTCCCCTTCCGAGCCACCGGGTTGCTCCAGAGAGTCTGACTTCTCAAAGGAGCTGGTGTGCTGGATGACAGAAATTTCTTTGGACGTCGTCCTCCTCTCCTTTCCCGATTCGGAACCAGACGCTGGCTTGGGAGTCCTCGGCTGGAAGCCTGAGGTTCCCTCCAGGGAGGGCGCTGACTTACTTGGTTCTGCTGGTGGCTTGGTGGCCTCAGGGGGAAGGCTCCGAGCCGCATCAGATGGCCTGGGGCTGCCAAACTGACCTTTGGTCGCCTCAAAGGCAGGCGGCTCCTCCTCGTCCCCAAGGCTCTTCTCTTTCCTCCTCTTCCTCAGTGGTGTGAGCTCCAAGGTGGCCCCCAGTTTATAATGCATCACCTGGGACCAGGGCTCCTGCTCGGCCGGACCCTTCTCGGCTTCCAGAGACACATGACAAGCACCTGCGGAGACCGCCGGCTTAGGGATCTGAAGCTCTGAGCAGTAGTACTTCTTGTGGGCCTCGTAGTTGTCCCGCTTCTTGTACCGAGCACCGCATACGTTACACTCGTAGGTCACCCCTTTCGTTTTCAAGCCCTTCTTGGTCTTTTTGGTGAGTTCGCTCTCCTTGGGTTCTGGCTCGTCCGCGGGTTTGGGGGCTGCTGTGTCCTTGCTGCTTGGCCCAGCCTCCTCGGAATACTCCCCTCCCAAAGGTAGCTCGATGGCCGGCTGGCGCTTGAGCATCCGGGGGTGGGAGGTCAACGTGTGGCTGCTGCGGCTCAGGGCTTCGGAGTCGGCGACGTGGTCGTCGAAGGAGTAGCTACCGCGGAAGGGGTGGTGGGGGGTCCCGAGGGTGCAGGCGGCAGAAGGCATTGAGTGGCTTCTCAGCAGAGGCACAGCGGGGGCGGTGCTGGGCGGGTGTTGGAGGCTCATCAGCGACGAAGGTTCGGGCTTCGCTTTCTCGCTGCCATGGGCCGGCAGGGGCTCCCGGTAGAGGCTGGACTTGGGCGACTCCATGCTGCTGCGCCGGGACAGCGAGCTCCTCCGGGGCTTCACGCTGTCTATCTCGCTGGTGTCCACCACGGCCTCGTTGATGGTGATGAGCTTGGTAATGTGCTCAATGACCTGCGTCCGGGGCACAGACAGAGGCGCCAGGCTGGGCTTGTCCTCGGAGGCCAGGGGCAGGAGCGGCTGGGTGGAGGTGGCAGCCAACATGGCGGGCCGCTGCCCGATGCGCCCGCACTTGCCCAGGATGATCTCGGCGTAGGACCTGGCATTGGTGTTGGGCGGGCTGGCCTGCTGCTCGGCGCTCTCCGAGCGGGAGAAGTACCCGGACTCGGTGCTGCCCTTGCTGCCCGGGCTCAGGAACGCCTGCTCGTCGATCACCTTCTTCCTCTCGCTCAGCCGGAGGGCCAGCTTCTGTTTGATGGTGTGGGTGTCTTCGGGCTTATGGCTCAGGGGGTGCTCGGAGGAGGGTTCTGCGAAGGGAGCGGGGTCCTCGAGCGACGGGGCAGAGCTGGACTGGGACAAGGAGCTGCGCTCGTGGCTGGAGCCCTGGCTCCCAGAGCTGTACAGGCCTCTGGACAGGAGCGGGTGCTTGGGCCTGGGGGACAGCTCTGCGGGGGGAGCCGAACCGGTGCCCGTTGTTTCCTCTTCCGAGTCGGTGCTCTCTCCCTCGGTGGGCTCCTCGAACTCTTCCCCCGGGATCCTCTCCATCTCCAGCCCTGGGGGGTACAGCTCGCCGCCCGCTCCCGAGGCCAGGCCGGCCTTGATGCGGTGGGCATGGGACTTCCTGTGCTTGTAGAGGTTGCTCTTGGTCTTGAAGGAGAAGCCGCAGGGGCCGCAGGGGTAGGGCCTCTCGCCGGTGTGCGAGCGGATGTGCTTCTGGAGCACGCTGGGCTTGGCGCAGGGCCGGCTGCAGTACTGGCAGATGTACTTGCCTGGTTTCTGGGGTTTCCTCTCCTTCTTGGGGGCCTCTTCTGTGGGCTTCAAGGGGACCTGGGAGGCACGGGGCAATAAGATTTTGGGGATGCCGGACAGGTCTTCGGCGGGAATGATGGAAGCATGGGGAGGGAGGAGCTGGCTCTGAGGAGGGAGCACGGTGCTTATGAAGGCGCCCGACGGTCCAGGTCTCATGGGGTCCACCAGCTGCCACGTGGTCCCCTCCAGGAGGTGCTCAGGTTTGCCAGGCGACATGAATGCTGGTGCCAGAGGGTGCTGTGGAAGCTGGGAGACGTGGACGGAGGCTTCGATGGAGGGCCTCGTGGGCAGGGGCTTCTGCTGCTGGCCCGGTTTCTCCTGAGAGCCTTCCCTAAGAACCGGCGAGGGGCCCGGGAAGGGCTGCGGGGCTGGGCGATCTTGGAGGGAACCCTCGGGGGTAGTGCCTGTGCCGCCCCCTGGGAACGGGGCACTGGCCGAAACACTGGCCTGAACAGCCTCTCCTTTAGTCAGCCGCTTCCGGGGACTTCCCTCAGCCTTCTTGGTGCCCTTGACACTTTGTTCAGGATCCATGACCTCCACAGAGACTGCCGGTGCTACTCAGGGAGGGGCAGGGCAGGCTGCATTTACGGAGAATCCAAGTGTCCCGGTGAGACGTCCGGCTTCAACCACATTGGTCAAGAGCGGAGGAAGCCAAGCCCAGGACGGTGTCGGGTTTTTTGTTTTTTGTTTTTTGCAAGTGTCACTGGTTGTGAGCAGCCTCAGAGCAAGTCATGGGGGCTTGAGCTATTCACGTGGGTGAGGCATGGCCCTCTACTTTGCAGACAGAAAATGCGCCAGCACCTTCTGCCTGAATGTCTGTCGTGGAAATGTCATGAGGGGCGTCAGTGCTGCCATCGTGTCGTCTCAGTTGGCAGTGGCGAGGGGTCCCCCAGGAGTCCCCTGTGTGCTATGTGAAGTGCCGACGGCCGGCGACGGCGGTGTGCATGGCCCAGTCATCCCTGGTCCTGGCGGAGAGGAGCCGCGCTGGATGCCGTGGGTGGCTCCGTCCAGCCTCTTCTCCTTGAGTCCCGTGTGGGAGATCCAGAGCCGTGGAGGGGATTCACGCGCTTCTACATGACAAACACACACACAGGACACAACACAAGAGAAGAGAGGGTTACTGCGACTCGTCCACAGCCTGGGCAGCTCCGACTGTGAAGCTCAGTGAGATCCCTAGAAGGTTAACCAGGGAGATTCAAACAGAACCCACGCCCCCTGGCTCTGAACGGCCAGGCCCTCCCCATCCATCCCTCACCTCCATTCACACTGTTGTTGGTTGAGTCGAATGTCAGCTGTGCTTCTGGGGCTGGTGTTCAGGCCTTTGAGGACCAAGAAGCCTGGGCTCTAGTCTGCTCTGTGAGTGCCTCCTAGAGGGTTTTAACTCCCTAAGGATCAACTGTCTAACCTAGGAAATGGATAACAGTTCATGCCTCAGCGATGCCTCGGGCCTGCAGAGGGTCCAACCCGGTAACGGACATGGATGCCACAGGACAAAGGCTGGTTGTTACGGGAGGAAGTGCTGGTGGGTATTCAGGGATGAGCTTTCCAAGAGGCAGACGGTCCTCAGGTTTTATTCTCTCTGGCTCTGGATTCTGAAGGTGTCCAGGAGGGGCATCAGTCATGGCTTTTGCTCCTCTGCTAACCCACCTCTGCAGCCTGCATTTCATGGAGAAGCTAAAGCCACTGCCCTCGCTGTGGGTGCTCATCGTCTGACACAGCACAGCTACCTGAGCTGCCCAGCAATAGCTGGAGGATCACCCTGGCAGGTTCCTCCAGCTTTGCAGCTTTTAAAGAAAGTGCCCCAGAAGGGAGTGCTTGCCAAGCCAAGGGACAAAGTTATTCTGAGTGGGTGCACCCTCTCAGGGCTAGCCGGAAATCGGGCAGTCTAGGCTTCTTGGGCTCCAAAGTGCATCTCAGGCCCTTCTTCCAAGCAGCACGGTCAGCATTTCAAAGCTGGACGTCACTGTGGACTCCCTCTCAGCCAACCTTTCTTTTCGGTGGAGGGAACTGGGGACCACAGAGGGGAAGTGGCCTGCTCAGGTCCCATGTTCCTAAGAGGCAGGGCTGGCACTTGAACCGGATTCCCGGTGGTTGGAGTCCATTTCCCACACACCCACAGGTGTCCATCTCCTGGTCCATCCCCTGGGTGAGGGCCTAGGGGAATGACCAGTGTCTCCCTGGCCTACCTCCTCCTGTAAGCATGCTCTGCCCCCAGCATCCTGACCGCGGGCTCCTTTCACACACCCTTGCCCTGTTTTTCACCAGTGTTTTCTGGGGTAGACTTGAAGAGTTCACTCTTTGCACTTTCACGGGGCACTCAGAAATTCAACAAGTCTGAGAGACTCCAATAATTGTCAGATGGCAGGCCCTCAGACACAGTGACATGGAGGAGCAGGTGGACTGATCTATTAGCTAAAAAATGCACACTATAAATTTACCCCTTTTGTGTGTCCTTTCCATCTTGGGTCTACAAAGAATTCAAGAGAACTATAGCAAAATTTTATAAAAATGTATAAAAGAATGACAAACTAGAAATAAAAAAGCAACTTTACATAAAATAACAGATCAGAACAAAGGAACATGTAAATAAGGCAGGAAGTTGGGATTGGAGGGATGGAAAGAAGACTGGTATACCGATCCTAAGGGTTCACAGTGTTTCTAGGGTTCAGCCAGACAAATATATGAGCTTCCCGGCAGCCAAGGAGAAAGGAGAGATGGGATCCATTATGGAGTTCTTATAAGCCAGAGATGAAGAACTATCTCAGTTCCTTGCAGGAAGCAAAGTGTTGCTTGAAAATAACCCTTTGGTTATTTCTTTTGGTACAGGGGCAGTGAATGTATGAAATCACCCGAGTCTTCAATTGATGTCCCTCCTACAAATGCAGTGATTGACTTTCGTCTGTTGGAAGCTATTCTCTGAGCAGTCAAAGTCCTCACCTGACTCAGGCAGGGAAGGCAGCCTCTGGTCGCAGGGCCACTGTGGTATGGCAGGGAAACCTCACTTCAGCAGAGGGGCCATGTAAGATGTTATTCAAACACATTTGGATGAGTGAAAGAGCACATTTGAGAGTGAAAGAGGCATTACTAATGATTGGGGAGGAGCAATAGGAATAAACCAGGCCTGTCCCAGGCTAGCTGGGACAAATGGTTACCCTTACAACCAGGTTTTACTTTGAGACCCAAACCAGGCACAAGTGCTGACTTGGGGTACCTGATATACACTTTCCATCTTTGTTAGGAGGACTTAAATCACACTGCTTCCTAATGGATTTTTAGAGATTGCTGATCCAGGCCAATCTGCTTACTTGACAGATGAGAAAACAGAGGCCCAGAAGGATGATGTGATTTTTCCTAAAATTTGCACAGTGATGGTGGCAGAGCTAGACTGTCCTGTGTCTCTCAACCTCTCGCCGGGGTTCAACTCCTGCCCCAAGGAATCAATGCCCACTATGACACAGGACAGTCTAGTCTGTGGGCACTGCCGTAGGTGGCTCTCTGTTCTATAGGAGCACTGGCTTGGCCCAGGGATATTGCTGTATCTTCAGGTATCTAGGGGCTTAACAGCAAAGGAGGCCTTTTAATGTATGTCCTAACCTCGCTCTGGCTGCTGGACAGGAGAAATGGGGAGCCCGGCTAATGTTGGGGAGTCCATCCTGGTGGCATTATCCCAGGCCTTGATTATGCAAGCTAAGGTGGGTAGCAGCCCCTTGTTCCCCACATGTCCTTCTTCAGAGAACCTATAGTTAATTTAATATGCTCTTTCCAACATCCTAAGGCATATATATATATATATATATATATATATATATATATATATAAATAATGTGCATATGCTGGATTTTATGTAAATTAAGAAAATATAGTGTACACAAGGATATGGAGGTTCACCTACTTGGGGCTGTATTAAAATTCAGCCAGTCCTGTATTGAAGCCCATGATGGTTGTTTTCAGCTTTTTCTATTCCAAGAAACACTACAAAGAATATCCTCTGCATACTCACGCAAGGATAAATTCCAAGAAGGGAATGCATCTTAAACTTTTGATAGGTACTGACAAATAGCTCCCCGCAAAGCACCAGTTTACATGCCAATTGTGTGTGAGGACTGTTTCTCTGAATTTTTTCTACCAGGAATACAACCAATGTCTTTAATATTTACTAATATGCAATCATTGAACTTGTTTCCTACTGCTGCTGGAACACATTGCCATAGACTTAGTGGCTAAAACAATACAATTTATCACACAGTTCTAGAGGCCAGAAGTCTGAAATGGGTCTCACTGGACTAAAAACAAGGCATGACCATTTTTCTTTCTGGAAGCTCTAGGGGGAAATCCATTTCCTCACCTTTTCCAACTTCTAGGGGTCACCTGCATTCCTTGGCTCGTGGCCCTCCCCAGCTTTAAGGCCAACAATGGCTTGCTGCATTCTTCCCACAATGAATGATGCTAACTCGGACTGCCCTGCCTCCTTCTTTCACTTGTAAAAACTCTTGTGATTATGTGGGGCCCTCCTGGATAATCCAGGATGATCTCCCCATCTCCAGATCCTTAATTTAATCACTCCTACAGAGTCACCTTTGCCATGAAAGGCAAGATATATTTACAGATTTCAGGAATTAGAATGTGGACCTCTTTGAGGGTCACTTTCTGCCGACCACAATAGCCTCTTATGTTTAAAAAATTTGTATTTCTTGATCTCCAGGGAGGCTTAGAACTTTGCGTAAATTAATTAACTATTTCCTTCAGGGAATTATTTTATAAGAAGAATTTGTTTATGTTTCTAATGAATTATATTTTTCTTATCTGTTTATGTAAACTTTTTTTATATTGGCGGTATTTATCCTTTATACAGGGTGAGGCAAAAGTAGGTTTAGAGTTATGAATACCTGAAAGAGTTAATTCTTGAATTACTAGAGGCCTAGTGCATGAAATTTGTGCATGAGTAGGGTCCCTAGGCCTGGCCGGCGATCAGGGCTGATCTGTGGGGCAACCAGTGGGGCAACCGAGGGGGTGGGGTGGGTGGTGGGGGATGTGCCCTAGCACCCGCCTTAGCTGGATTGGCGCTGCCCACTCGCTGACCCTCCCTCCCACTGCTGCCAGTTGTCCACCAATGCCATAGATCAAATAGTGCTGCTTCCCTGACCAGCCTGAGATATCTGCTGTGGGTCAGGTCTGCGGGTTAATCATCATCAGTGTCTTCCCGGGAAACTTGTCTCCCTCTCGACTGGGCAGAGAGTAGGCCTTATTCATCTTCGTATTTTCAGTGCCTGGCACTGAGTCTAATACTGAAAATATTTTAAAAATACCTAAATGACCATCTACCATGTGCCCAATCTATACTAAACATTCACATATTAACCCTCACACAATCCCCTTTAAGCAGATGAGAAGACTGAGGCTCAAAGAGGTGAGGCTAATTGCTTCAGGTAATACAAGAGAGGGCAGAGGTATGATGCAAACCCAGAGCGCAGGCCACTGCCTAGAAAACCCCCAAGAGTGCTGGCCTTGGTCAGAAGGGCCCAGATGGATTCTGCCTTTCTTCCCAGCACCCCAGCTCCTCCAGGAAGTCTTCCCAGTTAACTGCATCCATCTGCACTCGCACCAAAGCCTCCTCCCATGTGCAAATCACTCGATGTGACCCTGCTCAGAATTGGGTTTCCTGATAAATGTTTTCCCCACCAATAATGAGTGGTGGATTATTCACTGTTTGGGAGGCTCCCGAATCACTTCCCTGGGGTGACTGCGGTTTCTGAATTCCCACTTTCCCCCCTTCCCCTCCCTCTCAATCCTAAGACTCAGCCAGGGCTTGAAATTTCTACATACTGGTTGAAAAGTAAATTCTATTCATAGCGAAGAGAAAGCTAGGCTGTCCTAGGCAAGTTTTAAGAGATTGGTTTTTGTCTTCCTGTTAGACAGCCCAGGGGCCACGGTGGACTTGAGATCCCTTGGGGGGACAAAGCTTCCAGCAACATCCCTGAGGAAAGCAGGACCACATTTCACAGTCAAGACCAAGCAACAATACAGCCAGAACTCCACTCTGCTAGACCCTCGGAAGCCCAGATGCAGCCCT